GCACTCGCTCTGGAGACCAGGCTGGCCTCGAACTCACAGAGATCAACCTGCCTCTGCCTCCTGAGTGCTGGGATTAAAGGTGTGCGCCACCAACGCCCGGCCCCCCTCTCTCTTTTAATCCACAAGCCCTGGGAAGGAGGAATAGTGTCCCTCAGAGGGTCTGGGCTGGGTCTAGGGAGGACACAGGGTGGCAGGTATGAGGCTTGGCTGGCTCCTGCCTGTCCCACACTAGGTCTGGCCTCCACTCAGGCACAGAGTGTGCCTGTCATCAACAGCATGGGCAGCAGCCTGACTACCCTGCAGCCGGTCCAGTTCTCCCAGCCACTGCACCCCTCCTACCAGCAGCCACTCATGCCCCCTGTACAGAGCCATGTGGCCCAGAGCCCCTTCATGGCCACCATGGCCCAGCTGCAGAGCCCCCACGGTGAGCATCCCTCACATTGGTCTAGGGGAGGTGGGTTAGAGGTTGCCTGTGGGTAGGCTCAAGACAGGGCAGGTAGCAGGTGCTGTGGTCTGCTTGTGTGTGGTGCAGGTATCTAGGGGCCACCAACCTGCTTCTGTATGTGCACAAGAGCTCTTGTGAACTTTTCAATGTGTGCAATGCTGGTGTCCACCAGTCACGTTCCCAGGTTTGTTTGTCTGAGTGCTGGGATGCAGGCCACAGCCTATTATCTGAAACCCTTGGGGCTATGCACTCTTCAGTTTATGACTTTGCCACTTTTAGAAAGTGGATATATCAAGTGTTACATATTACTCCCAGTACAGCATGGGCAGCGCCTATCCACAGAGCACTGTTATTCCTGAAATAAAAGATGGGACTACATGCAGTAGATTAAAGATTTCATGCAGGGTTTGTGGGGAAACAGCTCAGTCAGTAAAGTCATGAAGACACATTCTTCAGAAGCCACGGGGCATGGCAGTGTGTGCTTCTTGTAACTCCAGAGCTGACAAAGTAGATACTGACTGATGATCCCTGGGGCCCATGCCAGCCAGTCTAGCCTCTTGGTGAGCTCCAGGCCAGTGAGAGAGCTGTCTCAAAAAACAGGGTGGCACACACACACACACACACACACACACACACACACACACACACAGAGAGAGAGAGTAAGGCTGCCCACCAAATGGGCCATGGGGCCAAACTTATGCAATGCTTTGGCTTCAGGCCTTTTGGACTTCAGCATAGAGACAGGAGCTATGGACTTGGGGACTTGTGTGAGGCTGAAACTGAATCTCTGTGTGGGTGCCCTGCTTTTAGCTGAGTTCCTAGAAGAGCATGCCATTACTATGTGCTAGGCGAGCGAGCATTCAAGTCTCCTGGAAAGTCTACAGGTGAAACTTTGTTTCATATTGGAGTTGTCCTGGAGATAGAGGTATTGCTAGTCTCTGCCCTGCTCACCTAGATGGAGGCCACCAGTCTTTCATTCAGAGGCCTGCTTTTGGTACAATGGCACCTGCACATCCTGCTACAGCACCTGTGCATGCTACTGTGGTCCCTTTGCTTAGTATAACATACTGAGCACAGCACTAGGCAGCACCTGCACTTGTTCCACCTACGTTTACTGCAGCAGAATTCATGTCTAATACATCACCTGTATTTGGTGCAGGCCCACTGCGCCTCTGCTCCTCATTTGCTTATACATATCTGGGTTGTATTCCATCTAGGGCAGTGGGGGAACAAACACACAATGAGCTGGAGTTGATGCTGGGCCTTCGCCTGCAGCTCCCAATCTGGCTTAGCTGAGCAGGCCTCTATAATGGGAAGATAGGGGGTCTGTCTCTCCTATCTGGATCCCCAAGCACCACCCCATCACGGTAACATCAGGCCCCATGCCCACTTCCCACAGATGCTCAGTCTTGAGCCATATCTGTGTCCTCTCCTCCCAGCCCTCTACAGCCACAAGCCTGAGGTGGCCCAGTACACACACACAAGCCTGCTTCCGCAGACCATGCTGATCACAGACACCAACCTCAGTGCCCTTGCCAGCCTCACGCCCACCAAGCAGGTAAGGCCCTGTGTCCTGAATCCCTGCCCGGAGCCCCATACCTCTATGCCATGGGCTCAGGGCATTACCCTGGTTCTCCAGGTCTTCACCTCAGACACAGAGGGCTCCAGTGAGCCTGGGCTTCATGAACCATCGTCTCCAGCCACCACCATCCACATCCCCAGCCAGGACCCATCGAGCATCCAGCACCTGCAGCCGGCCCACCGGCTCAGCACCAGTCCCACCGGTGAGCTATCTGCTGTCTCCCAGTAGGATAAGGTGGTGTGTTCAATGATGGAGTGAGGGTGGATGGGGGGGGGAGTGGGGCTTCCCAAATGGAGGTCAGAGGTTGGTTCTCTCTCCACCATGTGGGTCCCAAGGATTGAACTGAGGTCATCAGCTATTTTACCCTTTCACCTACCCTGAAGCATTCTTACCCACAATGCCATCTCCCCAGGGTTCTATGTAGTCTTTGAACGAGCAGCCAGCATTATAAATTCAGCTTTTGCTGGGCGGTGGTGGTGCACACCTTTAATCCCAGCGCTCAGGAGGCAGAGGCAGGGGGTTCTCTTTGAGACCAGCCTGGTCTACAAAGTGAGTTCCAGGACAGCCAGGGCTGTTACAGAAAGAAAGCCTGTCTTGAAAAACCAAAAACAACAAACAAAACAAAATAAAACAAAAAAACAATGAAAACCAAAGAACTCAACTTTCACCTAGGAGTCTGGCTCTCTGGCTCCTCTGGGAAGCTGGGAGGACTCATGTTATTACATTACAGCAGACATGCATGCACCCTCAGCCCCTGTCCTCAGCTTACAGCCTACAGTGTCAAGGAGGTTGCTGGGCTGAGGTCTGGGGTGTCCTCCATCCCCAATTTTTTGACTTCAGGAAAGCTGCTATCCCCCAGCTGGCCCTTGGGGCTGTAACGGCAGTTGCTGGAGACACTGTCTCACTGTACAGATGGACAAATGCACACTCAAGGAGTTGAGGGAACAGACAGGTGTGATGGCAGCCAGGTCGGACCCAGAGCTCACCCTCTGTCACTTTCATCAGTTTGGGCTCTCTCGAGACAGTGTCGATAGCATTCACACTTTGTATAGGGAACTGTGGGGCACAGCTGTGAGCACACCTGCCACCTGTCCCTCCGGACATTGGCAGGCTGGGACACACTGGACAGTGGCAGGCAGGAGGAAACAGTGGTCTCAATGAAGAATTTCTCTAGGAAGCTTCAGTTTTCTCTCTAGTTAGAGCCTTCTGATTAGATGTGGCCTGTCCATGTGGCCAAGGGTAGCTTCTTTTTTTGCTGAAAGCCAATCCACTGGCTTTTCTTGTTTGGTTTTTTGAGACAGGGTTTCTCTGTGGCTTTGGAGGCTGTCTTTGAACTAGCTCTTGTGGACCAGGCTGGTCTTGAACTCACAGAGATCCACCGGTCTCTGCCACCCAAGTGCTGGTATTAAAGGCATGCACCACCACCACCTTGTTTTTTTTGTTTGTTTGTTTTGTTTTTGTCTTTATTTTTGCCAATCCACTGTTAACCACATCTACAAAGTAACCTTCTGAGGGCCTGGGTTCAATCCCCAGTAATGCAAAAGCAAACCAACTTTTCCAGTAACAGTCATGTTAGTGTTTGACTCAGCCCAGCAGCCAGGAGGCTCCCTGTAGGCCCTGAAGGGAGAGGGCTGACTTGGGCTCCTGGAATCTGTTGTGATTCAGAAAGTGAGGCTCTGTCTTCTCCCTCTGGTGCATCCCTAGGGACAGGCAGGTGGGGTGGATGGAGGTCAGAGGGGCTTGGCCGACAGCTGGTGACCACATTTGCTTCTACAGTGTCTTCCAGCAGCCTGGTGTTGTACCAGAGCTCCGACTCCACCAATGGGCACAGCCACCTGCTGCCATCCAACCATGGTGTCATCGAGACTTTTATCTCCACCCAGATGGCCTCCTCCTCCCAGTAACCATGGTGACAGCCTCTCAGGCGCTGGGTCCCCAGAGCCTGCACTGCCTGCATAGGGGGCAAGAAAGGCCACTGCCATGCTGCCTGGACACATCTGAGCCTGCCATGTGTCTCCTGCCATAGGCTGCTGGCCTTCCCATAAGTCCCTGCTTTCATCCCACGGCTGCTCCTCCAGCAGCGTCAGAGAGGGAGGACTCTAGGGTGTCTCAGCCTGAGAAGGGGACCACAAAGGCTTGAAGACAGCCCTGTCTGGACAGTGTTGGAAGATCATCCTGCTGCACAGAATAGGAAACTTGACACTTGGGACAAAGGGGTAAGCCTGTGATGGTGGCACCTCTAGTCAGAGAGCCTGCAGCTCACACAGGATCTCTGTGCTGAGCTTGGGATCCTAGATCCACATGGCTACCTCCTGTCTCCTGTACAACCCCACCAGCACCAGCTCCTGCCAGTCAGTGAGCCACATGGCTGTTTGGTGGTTACCCCCTGCCCTCCCAAACAGGAATTATCCAAGTGGCTGTTCTGTGAGGCCTGGGAGCTGAGGGGAAGCCATGCAGGGCTCTTCTGAGTTTTCTCAAACGGGGCCATCCCCTCTCCCAGCCCTAGGCCGTGTCTTCTGATGCCAGCCTGGTATCTTGCCTCCAAGGCCACCTCAGAGAAAGGGGTTGTCATCTCTGTTCCTTAGGGTGTGTGACTCCTCCCCCCCGCCCCCAAGACCATGTCCTGGGCTATCAGCTCCTCTGGCTTTAGGGCCCTAACAACTCTTCCTTCCTGATGTGAGGGAGGCAGGACTTGGAAGGCAAGGCTGAGCTGTGACTGGTGGACACAATGCTGAGACCAGTAGAGAAGCCACCTGAGCAGCCTGGGCTGAAGCCTGGGGGCTGCCAGCCATTCTGAGGAAGCCATGGCCCTGAGTGGGACTGTGAGGGGCAAAGCAGCTGTGAGAATCCAGAGCCCATGACCTCATCTCCCTGGGCCTACTGCAGAAGACCTGGCTCTAAGCAGGCTCCCGTCTAGGACTGAGGAAGGGCCTGGAGAGAGCCAGTGTTCCCTGCAGCTCACAGCCAGCCATGGACAAGTCTGTACATTTATTTAACTTTTAGTAAAGTCAACAACAACAAAAAAATGTACAGAAGCTTCCTGCTTACACCTCAGGAGGGAAGGCAGAGGGAAGCTGGGTGCAGACCAGGGGCCTGAGGCACAGACAGGTTCGGGACACATGTTCGCATCGCTGTTTCCCTTGTTTAACTGGAAACGAGGCAAGGTGACTCCACCTGAGCCTGTAACTCCTCCTTGCAAAAGATTCATTGCAAGAAACCTAGTCCATGTGTGGTGCCATTTCCTGAAGTCTGGAAGCTGGGGTGACGAATCTGACCTAGGGATGTGGATGGGAGGGTCCCACATGTGGTTATTTAAGATGCTCCCTAACTTTCAGCACTGAGGATGTGGCTAAGTGGCAGGACACCTGCCTAGTAAGCACAGTGCCGTAAGTTTGATCCCCGGAAACAAACACCACGGTACTGATGGTTCGTTCTTGTTGCCCTGCTCGGGAGGCAGAAGCAGGAGATTGGCAGGTCTCAGGCCAATTTCAGCTACACAGAGACACCTTTTCAGACAAACAATAAAACAAAGAGGGTCACCAAGCAGGTGCAATACCTAGTGTACATCCTGGGTCACCTGATTTTCCCCTTTTCTCTTTAGTGCTGGTGACAGAACTAGGGGCTCTATAGCTAAGCCTGCACCCTGGAGACACTAAGTGGGTCCCAAGCACTCTGGCACCTGATTTTCAGTAACTGAGCTGACTTAGACACATTATTATGGATAGTATATTAACAATTTGGAGTAAGAAAATTCTGGGGAAAAAAGGGGGGATACCTTTCTTTTTTTCTAGACAACACTGTTAAGTCTGTGTGGGCTGGGGGAGAAGTACAGAAGTTTTTCTGAGCCTCAGTAGCTTGGAGACCCCTCCCCCTCATCTTTATGCTCTGAGACTCAGTCTCAAAAGCTGGAAGAACCTGCCTTTCTGAGGTAACAGAATGTTCTGGAACCACAGGTCCATCCAGCCTTGCTCAGACTTCTCCGCACACTAAAGTCACCAGTGGGTAGAGGCAGTGCTGGGACCTGGAGGGAGTATAGCTTGGCCTGCCTTTAACCCCACAGGCACCTCATTCTCAAGAGCCAGGGACTGGTGCCTACAGCCTGGAGTCAGTTCTCAGGCCCAGCCACTGACACTCTGCCAGCAGGTGGGCACGGGGAAGCCTCCCTGGCTTTCTTGGCCTTTTTCTTCCTTTTCTTCTTTTTGATCCCAAGCGACGGTGGGTCCCCATTGATGGTGTCTGCCTCCTTGACCTGCTTCAGGCCTGTGGCTCCAGCCAAGTTAATATCCGCCTCCTTCTTGGCTTTCTTTTTCAACTTCTTCTCCGCCTCCTTCTGTACCTCGGCAGGTCGGTGTATGGCTGACTCCTGAAGAACATCTGAAGCGGACACAGCTGCCTCTCGGCACCGCTGCCACTCCTCGTCACTGTCTTCACTGCTGCTAGGGAGAGTCTCAAGATTAGTGGCTATCTGGATGGGCCTCACAGCTACCTAGTTGCCTCCATACCAGGTGGAGGCAGCCAAGTAGCTTGGGCTAAGGGGCGAGGTAGACTCAGGCTTCAAGGTCAGTTTCTCTGCTTATCAGCCATGTGACCTTAATTCGGTGACGTCAGTGCTCTCATTTACATCGAGGACTTTAATAGCACCTAAACCTCACAGAGCATCTCAGGAGACAAGGACGGTAAAGAGAGGAATCTAGCCCAAGATGACTGCTCATGATGTGTGGAGAGCCTTAGCTCACCCTAGAAGACCCTGTATGCTTCCTGTTGGGGCACACTGTCCTGTTATCTCATAGGCCTCTTCCCTTGGTCTGGACCTGACTCTGGGGCCGATTAGCTACTTTATTGGATCAGCCAGGAGAGGAGAGGCTGAGGGCTCTCACCTGGAGCTGGGGGGCTGGCGCTTTCGGCAGGGTTTCGGAGAAGCTTCCTTCTCATGGCCTCCAGGGATGGACGTGAAGAAAAGGCGGAAGCCTAAGAATCATGGGGAGAGCCAGCAATCAGAGAAGCAGGCACCGCCCCGTCCTCCAGGTGCTGAGGCCACAGCCTGTCCTCAGGCATCCCAGTCTAGTGGTGAAGGCTCAGGCAACCCTGTCATGTGTGTGTAAACTGAGGCTTGTCTGAGGAACCACTTGCTTGCTCTCCTATGGAGCTTGGGGTGGTGGTGGTGGTGTATGTGTTTCCAAACCAGACAGCAAGCTTCAGCGGTTTCTGGTGGACTTTGTTTTGAGACAAGGTCCCTCTATGTAGCTCTGGCTGTCCTACAGCTTGCTACATAGACCAAGCTAACTTCAAACTCACAGAGATCCACCTGCCCCTGCCTTAAGTGCAGGGATTAAAAGCATGTGCCACCACACCCAGCCTTCAGAAGCTTCCAGAAGTCAGCAACCCCCAAAGAGGCCCAAGTATATGACAGGATCAGACAGACTGGGGGAGAAAGACTGTGGGATGAGAAGACAAAATGCTTCTGCAGGTACCCGGGCGAGTGAGGGTTCTCAGAGCTAGCTCATTCTGGGAATGGGGTACCATAATTCCTGCCTCAGAGTGTGGGGAGAACAGATACAAGAAGAAACCTGCCCCAGGGCGCTGCCGGCCCCACAGTGCTGCAGGCACACAATGGCACCTCCTCACGGCAGCACTTATCAGCACTTTGATGACTCACCATCCTCCTCCTCTGCCACCTGCCGCACCTCCGCCTTGCGTGGTTTCTTCCACACTTCTGAGATGGCGATGGAGCTAAGGGAGAGGAGGTGCCAGACTTAGGATGAAATTTTGGGTAACAGCAAAAGCACCCTTTGTTTTTAAATCTAAAATTTTCTTATTTTATTTATTTATTTATTATTTTTGCTGGGTTAGGGTCACAAGATTATAATCCCAGAATTTGGGAGGTTGAGGCAAGAGGATCACGAGACAAAGTGCATTCCTGCTCACCTGTCCAGCATGGCTCCCAGCTTCTTGGCCACATAGGCTCGGAACTCAGGAGTGGTCTGAAGCTCATTCCCATCCTCATCGTGCTGGTTCACCTCTCGCCTGTAACACACGCAAGGACATCACTTCCTGACAGCTTAGCTGCTCCCACAGGGGAGGGACCACTTGTCTTGTTCCCGCTGACACCTTGTGGTCTAACCTAGTATCTGAAACACACAGGGTACCAATATTCGTTCAATGACCCAGGAGCACAACACAGTACCTGAGGCTTCGCTGTGACGATGCGGGCACTTGTTTACCTGCAGCATCTGCGGAGATAAAAAACAAGGCGTTTACAGAGTGAACAACAGTGGCTGTGGGCTGGGTACATTTTAACTGATTTATATGTATGGCTCAAGAACTCACCCCCTCCCCCATTGCCATTTGAGGTGACCATTATCCCCATTCGGCCAAACTGATAAAGCCAATGACATGTAAAATAATTTGGCTAGGGTTGAAGAACTAATTTTTTTGTTTGGTTTTTTGTTTTTGTTTTTGTTTTTCCGAGACAGGGTTTCTCTGTGATTTTGGAAGTTGTCCTGGAACTAGCTCTTGTAGACCAGGCTGGTCTCGAACTCACAGAGATCCGCCTGCCTCGGCCTCCCAAGTGCTGGGACTAAAGGCTTGTGCCATCACCACCCGGCTTCTAATTTTTTTTTTTTTTAATGAGATTTAGTTACATAGCCCAGGTTAGCCTTGAGCTCATGCCTGACTAATAGTTGATTTAAGGGGAGCTAGAAAGAGGGTACAGGTCATTTGGTTCCAGAGGCCTCTTAATGTTTAGCAAGCAAGCCTACTGTGATGTGATTACGGTTTATTGAGTGGCTACTATGCAGGGCTGTATGCCATGGAGAAGAAACTGGCTTCTGTGCTGACCACTGGGGACACTGATGGTGGAGTCCACTGAACAAAGCGATGAATGGCTGAATGGCTATTAATAACCAGGTGCTAAATGACACAGTAACACAATATTAAATTGGGTAATAACCGTGTATAAAAAACACAAAACAAAGGAGAGGTGTGGAGCCCAGTGTTGGGCACTCTTCGGCAGTGGTGGGCGAGGAGGGCTTTGTAAGGTAACAACAGCTGGGCAGAAATCTAAATGAGGTGAAGGGAAGCAAGCCTGCCAGGCAGGGGAAGTTGTGTTGCTGAAAGCCAACCGGAGCCTGGTGTGGCCAGAAGAGGAGCAGAGACATACACTGTGGGGGCTACCACACCCAGGAAGGCAGTGTGAGGACTGGGGTTCTAAGAAAGAAGAGCCAATGGAGGAGCCAAGGGCTCCAGCAATATACACTGGCTTAGAGTATCTCAGGCCACTAGACAGAATGAGACCGAAGAGGCCATGGGCAGACAGGGGGTCTACTCAGATCACCAAGGACTCCGAATACAGACAGTGTAATGATGGAGTCTACACATGGTGGGATGGGCTAGATGCTAGACACCGAAAGATGGCTCTGAGATTGTGATGTGGACAATGGGACAAAGTGGGTTTGTGTCAAATGAACAGAATGGTCACTTGATATCTCCCAGCACAATGCAGAGCACGGAGCATTAACTCCAGGACCACCACTGTGTCTATGTGTGCTCACAGTGTGTCTGCCTGATACACTGTTCTAGGTCAATGCACTCTCAAATGCCTGATACCTCCACATGTGGATGTGTGGGAGATGGACATCTGTCTTCCAGAGCACAAAGTCATGAAGAGTAGCTCCCAGTATGACTACAGAACAATGACAAGGTCCTCCCAGGAGACGGAAAACAGTGTCAAACTCCAGACCCAGGTGGAGGCATTTAACTCTCCAATCGAGGAGATTACCTTTTAGCCATGACAAGATGGTTGGTTTGTTGGTTCACCAGGCACTTGCCACCAAGCCTGACAACTTGAGTTTGATCCCTAAGAACCACATGGTAAAAGGAGAGAAGTGATTTCTGATCTCCACTTGTGTGCATGTGCACATGAATATGTACACACAAAACAAACGTAATAAAAAACTTAAAGATCACTTTTAAAAAGATAGGACAGCACACACCTTTAATCCCAGCACTGAACTGCAGTTGGAAAAGAGGCATGGACTCTGTGATGTCTTGAGGTCTTCTGAGAGCATGATAAATATGGTTGATAACAATATGCTATATTTTAAAAGTTGTGAGATTGTATACTTTAAGTGTTCTCAAAACAAAAATGATGAATATGTGTGATATAACATGTTAATTGGTTTAATTTAGCCATGCCATTGTGAACATACTGTATTCTATATCATAATTGTGCATGACTTTATTTATGAGCTAAATAAATGAATGGAAAAAAAAAATCACAGCACCGAGGAGGCAAAAGCAGACAGATCTCTGAGAGTTCAAGGCCAGTCTGGTGTGCATAGTGAATTCTAGGACAGCCAGTCCTATGTAGACAGACTGTCTCAAAAACAAAACAAAAACCAACTAACCAAGCAAAAACCAAACAAACAAAACACATTTCACAGTTAGTGCTATCTACTTTGTTTTCATGTCCATCCCCTTCCTCGACTTGAAATGTTTATTACTGTTGTGTGTTTAAAGAATCGAGTCACTTGTGGGGGGTCAATTCTCTCCTTCCATCATGGGTTCTGGGTTCAACTCAGCTTGCAGGCTTGTGTGGCAATTGCTGAGCCATCTACTGACCTAGACATGGGTCTAAAGATTACAGGAATTTTAGGGACTGGAGAGATGGCTCTGAGGTTAAGAGCACTGGCTGCTCTTCCAGAGGTCCCGAGTTCAATTCCCAGCAACCACATGGTGGCTCTCAACCATCTATAATGAGATCTGGTGCTCTATTCTGGTATGCAGACAGAACACTGTATACATAATAAATAGATCTTTAAAAAAAAAAAGATTACAGGAATTTTAAAGCATCGAAGAGGGTCAATGCTTTCTTTCCAACATTGTACTATGCATAGAATACTTCACTGTATCTGTAAAAAAAATTGTAATGGAAGGGATATAACAATATGGTGACTTCTGCTGCAACAAAGTAGCAGGTATTGTCCAAAGACTGTGGCTTGTTTCTCACGCGCATGAGGGGAAAAAAGATGCTAAATTTCAATTATGAGTTAATGAAAGTAAAGGTGCAGTATTTTTTCTATCTCAAATCGGAGGACCTGTTGGATTCTCTAACCATGATTAAGAATCCCTACGGTAAGTCAGGCGTTGGCGGCACATACCTTTAATCCCAGCACTCGGGAGGCAGACAGATCTCTGTGAGTTCGAGACCAGCTTGGTCTACAAGGGCTAGTTCCAGGACAGCCTCCAAAACAAACAAAACAACAACAACAACAACAACAACAACAACAACAAACCCTATGGTGGCAGACTTCGGATTCACTTCCAGTCTGTTGGGGAGCCGCGGCTGGACAGCATGAGCCCAGGGAGAGGCACGGCTCAGCATACAGGAAAGGGTGCATCTCTGTCATGGTTACCTTCCCGGAGGATGGCAAGAGGGGGCATGGAGGAAAGCGCAGTCAGGAGACATTTAGGACCCTCGGCTGTGTCCGCTGGAAGAATGGAATCGCCCTCCCACCTCGGTGTGAATCTGACCCCTAACTGATCCCAGGAGCTTCAGAAAGCTCCTCCAAGACGCTGCGACCCCACCGTCCATCCTTTCCAGGCCCCGGGGAAAGAACCCCGCCCTTCGGACGGCCCCCTACCGGATCTGGGCTTCTCTGCTCCCTGCGGGCACTGCTCCAGCCCCCAGGCGGGCATCGCCGCCTCGCGGCACCGCGCCAGCTCCTCGGCATCGCTGTTACTACTGCTGCTGCTTTCGGAATCGCTCATGGTACCACTGGGCGCCACCATCTTGAGATGCCGCAAGGGGTTGTGGGGAAAGCGCTCATTTTTTTTTTTTTTTTTTTTTTTTTTTTTTCGACGTTCCCGTTTCACATGACCCACGGAGCGCCAGGGACGCTCAGAGCATTATGGGGATTGTAGTTTTCAGAACACCATTGGCCGTGAACCGTCCTGAAAGAGGAGCTCTAGAAGGGTCCAAGAGACCAGTCCTTCTCTAACCCTTTCTTCACCCGCTTTTCCTTAGCATTTATTTTCTCTTCTTCCCTCCTTCCTTCCTTTTACCCCTCTCTATATTTCTTGATTTATTTGTATTTATTTGTTTATGTTGATACAGGATCTTGCTGTGTAGTTTAGGCTGACCTGGAACTTTTGCTTCACCTTCCTGTGATCTGGGGTTACAGGCATGAACCCCCATAACTGGATTCCAATATTTACAGGATGGGGAAAATTATATATATATATATATATAGTGATATATGTGATGTATATGTATATATATGTATATTATATATGGAATAATAATATCCTAAAATCAAACAAGCGGGTGGTGACGGAAGCAAGATTAGCTCTTTTTTTAAAAGGAAAAATGAATTTATTTGCGATTTGATGAAATTGGGAAGGCAACTAACCACCTTTTTTAGTTCAGATTTTGATCTTAGGAAGATTGCTAAACTATAGGCTTTCAGGGTCTTACAAACAAAACAAATCAGGTCACAATATGACTCTTGGAATAGCTGAGGCCTTGCCAGTTACAGCATAGTCCATAAGACATAAGTCCATAAGTGCAGATGAACACTTAAGCAGGATCTGTTTCCTAAACTCCTTCTGTGACAAGTACATGAGGTGATATTTAAGGTGGGTTGGATGAACGGTTTAGTGTGGGAAATACTGTGATTTTGTACCCCCCTCCCCCCAGCATCTTAAATTGTGGGGAACTGAATGTGGATTTTCATGAAGAATTTGGCAATAGTGAAGATTTCTGAATGTGCGAAGAGCAAAAGCATTTCAAAATCAAGCATGTGATGGACCTGTGATGTTTCTGATGCTTGCATAACTTTATTGCAGCATTGAACACATGATCTGTACACTGTACTGCATGTATCTTCATGCCACATAACACCAATGAATGCTGACACTCACTGGCTCAGTTATGAGACTAATGCATGCTATGAATGGCAATATTCTTCCTGTACATACAATTTTCTGCTCTTATGAAACAGTGGCTTAATTGCAGGAAACAACTCTCTCTCTCTCTCTCTCTCTCTCTGTCATTCCTGAGCACACACCAAATTAGTACATCTTTGGATTGGTTTCTATTAGAATATTTGATTGTAAAAGTTTCTAACTTAGGGCTGGGGAAATGGCTTAGCAGTTAAGAGCACTGACTGTTCTTTCAGAAGACCTGGGTTCAATTCCCAGCACCCACATGACAGCTCACCCCTGTCTGTAACCCTGAGATCTGACACGCTCACACAGACATACATGCAGGCAAAATACCAGTGCAAATGAAAAGTTGATAACTTGAGTTCATTAGAAAAATGGTAGACTTTTGCTCTGGGGTTAGGCCAGTGTTTCCAACAACTTCTGAAATGGCCTTAAACATGGGGCTACTGTTTTGTACAGTGCATTTCTGAAAAGAGGCATTCTCAGCATCAGTGATTATGGAGCCAAAGTATTGATCCACTCTGACAAACATTCAAGGAGTTCTGTGCCCAACAGTATCAAATATTTGGGCAAGATTTATATAAAACTAAGCAAATATACCTATCTCATTAACACGCAAAAATTGTTTTTGTCTTTTTTCACCTGTGTGCATTTATGCGTGTTCATATCTATGTAGATGTGTGTGCACATAGGTGGGATGTCTCCCACCTATGCTGTCTCCCTTGTTTTTTTTTTTAAGCCAAGGTCACTCACTGGCCTTGAAGCTCGATGAGTAGGCTAGACTGACTGGCCTGCAAGCCCTAGGGTTTGCCTGGCTCCTTTCCTGGTACTGGGATTACAAGTGTGCATCACCATGCCTAGCTTTTATTATGTCAGTTCAGGCATGGAACTCAGATCCTTGCAAAGGTAGGCACTTTACTGAATAAGCAATATCCCCACCCCTCCCTGCCCTTTTGAAACAGGTGTGCATATATCCAGTTAACCTGGAACTTGCTATGTAGACCAGGCTGGTCTTGGACTTGCATTGCCCCTCTCGTTTCTGCTTCCCTCATATCAGAATTACAGGTATGTGCTTGTAATTACACCTGGTTGCTTTAGTCTTTAGTTGATGGTAAAGTTATATATACACCAAATAACTTTTTTTTAAAAAAAAAGGTTTGTATTACATTTATTTATTTGTGTGTGTTGTTTGGCATAAACCCAACCATAATATCCTTTGGCAATAAAAATGGGAGGTATTTTTTTTCCTCTAGACTATTATGGGCAAAAGACTTTGAGTCAGGGTCTCACCATGTAGCTCTGGCTGGTCTATAACTCACAATGTAGACCAGGCTGGCCTCCAACTCACAAAGATCCACCTGTTCTGGGATCAAAGGCCCAAGAGGGATTTTTAAAACATTGTCTCATCTTCAATTTCCAAGACTTTGTCTCTTTTCATCTCAGTTTCTCAATTTTCATCAATCCCTAGAGTTGAGAAGCATCTGTAGAAATGAATGATAACCACTAAAATGGGAAGAAACAAAGTCTGTTTATTTTCAATTTAAAAGGAACTTGATGTCCTACCTTGCCTTTGATAGTCAGAGGCAGGCAGAAGGGGAGCAGGGGACAGGGAAGGCTTCAGATACACCCTGATGGAGGTTGCTGGTGTAGGGAAGTTGGAGATGAGACAACCTGAAGCTGGGTCCATGTAATTGGTTGAGAAGCCTATTTGGCTTCCTCTGAACAAGTTAAGAATTTATTAGTGAAACTGCCATTTACTAACCAAGTCCTGATAGTGTGGCTATGAGGATTGCAGCAGTGACTGCAGAATTCCATTGTCACACAGAGTGTCCGGATATTGCCTGTTTGTATACGACTTTGCACATCCTTTCTGGTTCCCTCCTGGCAGGGTACTGAAGACTTGAACCATCCCAGCAGAGTCTGAAAGGACCACTATGCTGAGTCTAGGATAAGAGAGGGAGCAAAAATGCAGAGCTCACAGAGGAAACTAGCTGGGTGCAAATGGAGATTTCCCCTCCTTCTTCTTGGACAGGATGAGGGTGACACTGTCTTGGATGTCATAGGATTTAAAGTCAAACCAGTCCTGCAAGACACGGCCCTGGAACTCCAGCTGCTGCTCCTGGCTTGGAAAGCCCCGCCTGTCTTCAATCTGCTGTTTCAGGTTCAGGACGAAGTCAAATGGATGAATGGCGTAGGCGTGGCTCCCACCATCCGGGTTTTTCACAAAGACCTGGATCTCAGGGGAGATGGTGTCCAGCAGACAGATGTGGACGTGGGAGAAGATTCCGTAATAGGCCAGTGAGCAATGGCTTCTGAGGAGCTGCCGTGGGCCACCGGGTTCCTGAAAGGACAGACGCTGCAGGCCTGAGTAGCCCCGGCTCCGGCGGATTTTCTCTTTAAGTTTACTTATGGGTTCATAAGGGTTCACCCAGAGGATTAAATCGGAGTGACCCCACTGCTCCACTGTCACCTGGATATCTGGTGCTCTCTGCAAGAGAGGAGAGGTGAGGTTAGGATCACATTTCTATCTGGTGACCTATGAATTCCCTTCCTAGATTCGTCTTCGAAAGAGCAAAACAGCTTCTTCATCATTGTCGTTGTTAGGAAGGACTCTAAGCTTAGGTTGTAAAGTTTTCAAGAAAAAAATCCCCCAGCACAGTAGAGAGTGACATATATGTGTCATTCCAGCACTCAGCACATGGGGGTTTTGAGTTTAAGAGTTTCCTGGGATACACAGTGAAGCCTTGTGTCAAAAATCCCAGAGGCACAGGTTGGGCATTGGTGGCGCACGCCTTTAATCCCAGCACTCAGGAGGCAGAGGCGGGCGGATCTCTGTGAGTTTGAGGCCAGCCTGGTCTATATAGAGAGCTCCAGGACAGTCAGGGCTCCATAGTTCTGGTTTCATAAGCAAACCCCAGAGGCATGCTCTTTCCCTCCCATCAGGTAATTTTGTTTGGCTGGAGCCCCTTGTTTTTTGTCTGCACCTTAATTTAGAGCTCTAGTTTCTGCCTCTGCAGTCTCTTGTTTCCATACACCCCCACTTCCTGTTCCTTTCTCTTCTACCTGCAGTCCACGAGATAGATAGATAGATAGATAGATAGATAGATAGATAGATAGATAGATGGGAGAGAGAGGGGGGAAGAGAGTGTGTGTGTGTCTGTGATAGCATACATTTGGAGGGCAGAAAATTCTTCCACCATTTGGGCACCAAGAATTGAACTCAGGTCCTCAGGCTTAGCAGCAACCCTTACCCACAGAGCCATCTCATCAGCATTTATATCCTTGTCTGGTGCTTTGGGCTCACCTCCCAGCTTGATGTCCCAGTAGGCAATCTTGCCTGGTGGTTCTAGCTAGTGTTTACTATGTCTAGAGCCTTGTTAAAGATCCAACTGAACTTTTGCTAGCGGTCTTTGCTGCCTATTAGCACTATGAACTTGATTCATTGACGTTTCCCTCAGGAGTCTCAGCTTGCTCTTCTGAGAAATGGAAACAATCATACTTACAGTAACAATCAATTAAAATAGTGATAATGTTCAACCTTTTTATAGAATTGCCTGTGAAGATCAGTGGAGATAGCCCCTGGACACATACTTTGCAAATTGTAAATACTAGATTATTATGCTCTTTGCCTGTTGCCTGTGTCAGAGTTGTACTGTGGTTCAACGTTTTGGAGAGTCTCATCTCTTCCGGTAATCTGTCTTGCAGGTGTGTGCAAACTTGCTTGCATCTAACACTGTTATATGCATTCCTCCCTCTCTCACCAACCCCAAGTCTAGTGCTGGCGCCTAATGGCTGAGTGACTTGACCTAGCTGTACTCAACGCACACAGAGATTAGCAATGGGAACCTGATATTCCAGGAGGGGAAGAGTGTAAAGATGTAAAAGTTAGTATCTCAAGGCTTAGGAAGTCAAAGAATGCCCCGAGTTCAAAGCTGGCTGCAGAGTGGTATCACAGGCTTCAGGCCTCTGAAGTGTTATTTCCACAAGCACCTAACTGGAGGAACCAACACTATGCAGGTGTAGTGTTGGGATTGCCAGGCCATTAACAGTCCTTGGAGGAAGCATTACCTTCACAGTCCAGCTGGGGATCGGGGTGTCGCTGTTGTCATAGCAACAGTCCTGTTTCAGACACTGGTTGGCCCGCTGAGCAACTATGTCCCATCTGTATCCTTCTGCCACATTGTGGGTGGGGTCTGCTGGGTCCAGGATGATGGGTCTGCAACACAGAGAGAGGATAGGATGCCCAGGCTCTTACCAGTTTGGAGGCTATTGTCTGGGGAAGTGCTTCTCAGACACCATCCTTTCCAGCCACTGAGCATCTGTCCATCCCTCAGAGCTGTCAGTCAAGGAGGGCCTCAAAATACCACTGAGAGCTAGGGCATGGAGATGATGAGATTTGGGAGAGGATGAAGCTGCTGGGGACATCCTGGAGCAGCACCAGATGCTCCCTCCTGCAGGGTCATGACAGGCTGCACAAATCTGAGGCCAAATTTGTTGGATGGCCTTACTCACAGCAACACCACTGGCATCTATTATTTTTGAAGCACTGGGCTAGAACCTGAGTGAACGTGCTTTAATCTCCCAACAGTTTTCTAGGGATTATTCTTACTATAATTGTTATCCCCATTTAGAGGTGAAGGAATGGAGACATAGACCTTAAGGTCTCATGGTTGATGGAGAAGGTTGTTGGCTGTTCTAGTTCTACTGCCTCAACAGGGACAACTCAGGCTGCCTCTCAGATGTCTCTTCTGTATGCAAACATGGAATGATTAAATGTCACTGGCTTGAGTGGAATCTGGTGGCCTTCATGGCTCCCTGGGAGATTGCCCGAGGTAGGCTCCAATGTCCATAAGTAAGAGCTACACTTTGCATTCCTAGAGTTTGGGGCTTAGGAGTGGTGACTTTGTGTCTGTGATAACACTTGAAAGCAGGTTCCTGGTGTGAATTGCACACCCTGAGCTCCATGCCTGTGGCTTAAGCATCCTCTACTATCTGACTGAAATGATCAAGAGTAGCACAAAGAGCAGCCCATGCTGTCCCGTAGGCAGTCTCAACACATACTTAGTAAAGTCAAGTGAAGATTCCATATTCCCCACCCCTAGTCTCCCTTTCTGGTTTTTCTGTGAGACCTGGTGGCCGACAGTGGCCCAGTACCTTTCTCGTTTGAGCTGTCTCCTGACACAGTCCTCGATGACTGGATTCTGCAGTGTGTAGTACTTGGTCCAGTAGATGCAGATGAGTTCGTGATCCTGGAGCAACTCCATCACAGTGGCGAGCCCTTCATCCAGCCTGAAGTTAGCATCTTCCTGGGTGCCTGCTTCCCATGCATAGACAGTTAGTAGTTCCAGGGCATAGAAAGGGGGAAGATTGGCCCGGGGGCACTTGTTTCTCACATACTGCAGAGAGAGGTGGGGAAGAAACAGAGAGGGATGTAAAGATTAAGTGTAAGAAGGGCATCAGGTCCAGGGGCAAAAAGCCCAAAGTCTAGCCTTAGTTCTTCTACCTACTAGCTGTATGACCTTGGCCAAGTTGCTTCCCCTCTCTGGGCCTTGGTTTCCCTATTTTAGTATTTAAGGACCTAGGTTAGTAGACTTCAAATTGCATCGGAATGCAAATTTAGGGGAATATAATTTATTTTTAAATCTCTTCTTCCTGTATGTGTATTTGTGCACGCAAGTGTGCATGCATTCATGCAAGTTTCTGTGTGGTATGTATGTGTGCACACATGTGTGTTTGCATGTGTGCATGCATTTGGTGTGTGTGCATGCATGTGTGCATGTGTCTGTGTACATGCATACATGTATGTGTCTGTGTGAGTGTGTGTGTGTGTGTGTATGCCTGTGTGTGCATGCCATGGTGTGCTTCAGGTATGGATGCCAGAATTTGACTTCATGAAGTTAGTTCTTTCCTTCAACCTTTGCATGGGCTCCTGGGGTTAAATTCTACTCACCAGGCTTGTATGGCAAGTACCTTTAGCCCACTGAGACATCTCACCAGATGGATTTGAAATTCTTTTTTGTATGTATGTATGTATGTATGTATGTATGTATGTATGCATGCATGTATGTATGCATGTATGTATAAATAAGTGTATGACAATCCATGTATATGGGTGTGGAGGCTAGAGGTCAGTATGACATATTTTCCTCAGTCGCTCTCCACATTTTGAGACAGGCTCTCTTGTTGAATTTGCTGTTGTGGAATATTAGCTTAAGGTATGCTACATTCATTTATGCTGCGGAATATTTGTTTAATAATGCAAAGATGTGTTGCATTCGTTTAATTTGCCTTTGTTTGACTCTGTGAAGCTGTGTAACTGCCTGTTTAAAACACCTGGTTGGTCCAATTAAGAGCTGAATGTCCAATAGTGAGGCAGGGGAAAGGATAGGTGGGGCTGACAGGCTGAGAGAATAAATAGGAGGAGAAAAAGATGGATAAGGACTCAAGAGAGATCAAGGAGAGAGGAAAGAAGGGGCCAGCCACACAGCAAACCACAGAGTAAGAGTGAAAGTAAGATTACAGAAGTAAGAAAAGGAAAAAGCCCAGAGGCAAAAGATAGATGGGATAATTTAAGTTAGTAAAAACTGACTAGAAATAAGTCAAGCTAAGGCCAGGCATTTATAAGAAATAATAAGCCTCCATGTGTGATGAATAGAAACAGGTTAAATCAAGTTAAAAGAGCTAATGGGACAAGCCTAAGCTAAGGCCAAGCACTCATAATTAATAAGTCTCTGTGTTTTCATTTGGGAGCTGGTTGGTAGCTCAAAGAAAATGGCAACTACATCCTAGCATTCTCCCACTTGACCCCTAACCCTGTTTCCTCTTGGTGCCCCCTACCTGCCTCGCCCTGGCAGCCCCCTTTACCTGCTGGTACCAGTGTTTGACCAACCGCAGGAAGCTCTTCAGCTTAGTTGGCCGATGCTTCACAAAGTTTCTCTGTAGCTCGCTGAAGGATGGAGAGAAATTTCCAGGGTACCCATTAGCCTTGATCAGATTCACATAGACCTCTGGGGGTAACTGAGAGGTGGGACAGGAAGGCCCTGAGGAGAGTGGAAACAAAGACTGTGAAGATCCTGGAAGATCTTCACTGGGTAACCAAGCAGTCATCTGGGGAGGACCTGCTCACTCTGCAGTTATGTCTCCAGGGAGACTTGAGACCTTGTGTGTTGGGCTTCCAGTGAAATTTGTTCTTTCTCTCTCTGTTTCTCTCTGTCTCTCTGTCTCTCTCTGGAAAGGGTTTGGGTAACCCTAGCTGTCCTTGAACTCACTTTGTAGACTAGGCTGGCCTTTAACTCACAGAGATCCGCCTGCCTCTCAACAGTTGTGGTTAGAGGTGTGTGCCATTACCGCTGAGCTTTTCTGTGAGGTTTCTTAAAAACTTCACGTTTTAAATTATGTACCCATGGCGACTTGTTATATAGACTGGCCTGGCCTTAAACTCTTCGAGATCCCCCCCCCCCCGTGATACTCTTTCCTGAGTGCTGGGATTAAAGGCATCCTCCACCACCCCCAACCTGGTGAGATTCTTATTCAGGAGGGCCAGCTTTGGGCTCTCTATGTTTCAGGTCCTCCCCGGGTGTCCACAACACTACCAGCTTTCTTTAATGCCCGTTTTTTCAGTAGATCTCTTTCTGGGTGATTGATTGAAATCTGTCAATATTCACTGTGAGAACTGGGTCCATGCCACGCTACAAATGACTATCTTCCTAAGACTGTACCCCATGTCTGACACCCATGGAATAATGCTGCACAACCTGTAACCAGTGGGAGTTGGCACACGATACAAAACTCTTAGATCTTGAGATTTATGTGGTTGTTTTTATATATCCATGTGTGCCTGCATGAGTTTGTGTGTGCACAACATGCATTTGGGTGCCCAAGGAGGTCAGAAGAGGGCGCTGAATCCCACGGAGCTGGAGGGACAGGGGGTCGTGAGGTGCCATGTGGTCCATAAGCCAGGACCTTTGTAATAGTAATCTCCCTTAACCACAGAGCCATCTCTCCAGGCCTGGTTTGGATAGCAAGTGCCCCCTGAAGACCCATGTGTTAAAGGTCTAGTTGTCAATCTGGGGTGCTATTGGGCTGTAGCAGAACCCTTAAGGGGTGGAGACTAGTGGAAGGAAGCTGGGTCTTCAGGGCCACCTTTGAAGGGAATATAGAGACACTTCTCTTATAGACAGTTCCCTCCCTCCCACCACTCCTTTCCGGAAGATGAGCAAGTGTCTTCCTCCATACATTACTCCATGCTAGTTTGTCATGCAGTGCAGGCCAGAAACAACAGGAAGGAAGACACACATGATCAGTTACTGAAAACCTGCAACACCGTGTGCCCGACTGAGGCTTTCCTTTTGAGTGGATTGTCTGGTTTGTCTGCCTGAGGACAAACAGCAAGTGTGGGTGACTTCAATCCTCCTGAGTCCGAGGCTGCACTCAGCTAACGGATAAACACCACAGTGCAATGGGGTAGTGGGCAGGATGGAGGATGTTTCCAGAGTAATTTGAGTTCTGCAGGGGCAGGAAGCCAGCTGACTAGCTACTCACAGCCCAGTAAGGCATTTATCTCCTTCCCCTTTCTGTTTTAATTCCCTAATGAAGTGTGTGTGTCCCTAGTCCTGCCCTTGCCACAGGTCTGCTTTGGGAATGAAGTTCGTGTCTAGACACAGCAAGTGTCTCATAGGAAGGACTCAGTTCCTAATCTGAGTCCCTCCCCTGGCTGGGTCTCAGGCCTCTCAGAACATTCTTCCCACAGCGAGGCCTTCCCTGAATATTATTTGGTGGCTAACCATTGTACCCTGTTCTTTTCCACCTTTTGTCATGTGCTTACAGTGTGCCTCTGTGATAAGTTTCTGTTTCCCAAGTCCGAGCCTGTTAGTTCTGAGCACACTGTGGCAGCTCAGACTCAGCCCAGGACATTGGTAGGATGAAGGAATGCATGCGGCCACCAGAGGCAAGGGGTCACAGTCTCCTAGGGCTGGCAGGCTGGCCATGTAGGACTTGTGTGTTCCCCTTACCCAGGGCTCTGTAGGCCGGAATGATGGTGACAGTGATAGGCTCCCAGGTCTCCCTTGTCCGAATAGTGAAGATGAGACCACTGGGAACTCCTTCGGTCACTCCAAGGTTATCGAGCCCGAGGTCCAGAAGGTCTTGGCAATAGAACATCTTTTTCTGCATCAGCCTCAGTATAGTGTGGTGGTGCTTAGCCTCTTCCTGGAAGCTGTGGAAGCAGCTCAGGAACGCCACCAGCTCCACATCCGTGGTACTCCTAAGCACCGTGCCATTCCCGAAGGAGCCCACCTGCGGAAGACAGGACTCTATCACCCCAAGGCCCTGTGCCCTGTGCCCGACAACCTTGTGACTCTTAGTGTAATATATGCCTTTAGCATATAGTCTTTCCACAAGGGCTGGGTAAGAAGTGCTGCCATCCCACATCACAGGTGCAGACAGATGGAGGATGAATTTTGCACTCAAGCTCTCTGGCAGCTGGCCTCCAGCAGCCAGGCATCCTTGTATTCTCTCCCTAGGCAGCCCACAGCTGACCTGGACCAGGCTGTGTAGCTCAGGCTGTCCTTGAACCCATGACCCTCCTGACTGACTCAGCCTCCCAAGCAATGTGGTTACAGGTGTGCCCTGCCATAGTAGCCCTTGCTTATCCACTGCCCTGTACACCATTGGAGACTCAAGTCTCTCGTCCAATCCAGAGCAATGCCCACTCCAAGGGAACAATGACTGAGTATCCCTAACCTGAAAACTCCAAAATGTTCAAAATCCAACAGTGTTTAACTGCTGACATGCTGCCACGAGTAGGAAATTCCCCATATGACCAGAAATATTGTACAAAATTGCCTTTGGGCTATGTGAAACACGTGAACTTATGAGAAGGTCTAGGTCCTATCTTAACATATCTTGTTATGTTTATGTAAATAGGTCAAAGCCTGGTGGGGGGATTTCCAAACCTGAAACACTTCTGAGCCTTAAGTATCAGATAAAGGGCTCCCAGCCGGTAGAAATATCTGCTGAACGGGCTGTGAAACAGATGGTCAGCCTCATCCATCATGCTCCTTCCCTCTCTCCCTCCCTCTCTCCTTCTCTCCCTCCCTCCCTCCCTCCTGTTCTGTTTGTGTGGATCAAGGAGCGTCCATGATGGCAGGGCAAGCACTTTGGTATTAGAACTGTATGCCTAGCCCTGACCTTGAACCTTTTCCCTGATTTATTTGCTATGCAATCATTAGGAGCCCAAAGTCCATCATGAGTAAAAGGAAAACAATGACGAAAAGTGAGTCATTAGAATACAGGGAAGATCAGTTAAAATACTGTATGCCAAGGGCTGGGTGTGGGGCCCGTGTCCCGGATGTCAGCGGTGTGTGTCTTTTCATCTAGTGGACTCCTCTGCTGCCTAGACATTAGTCTCCCCATCTCTTTTGTTTTGTTTTTGGTTTTTCAAGACAGGGTTTCTCTGTGGCTTTGGAGGCTGTCCTGGAACTCGCTCTTGTAGACCAGGCTGGTCTTGAACTCTCAGAGATCCGCCTGCCTCTGCCTCCCATGCTGGGATTAAAGGCATGCGCCACCACCGCCCAGCTTTAGTCTCCCCATCTCTTAATGGAAAGAGAGTAAACTGTTTAATTTTTTTCATTTTATTTATTTGCGTGTGTGTGTGTGTGTGTGTGTGTGTGTGTGTGTGTGTGTGTGTGTGTGTGTGTTTGTGTGTGCATGCATGTGCCTGCATGCCATGGCACACATGTGGACATCAGAGGACAACTAAAGGGAGTTCATTTCACCATGTGGGTTCCTGCGCTTATATCCAGGTTGTCAGCCTTGGTAGTAGGCACCTTCCATGCTGAGCCATCCTGCTGGCCCCAGAGCCAGATGATTCTGAAGAAACAGCCGAGACTTTCTCTCCAGACTCTGCCTCCTGGCATACAAGGCCCTGCATCTCTCTAGCTCACCTCTCGCTCACCCCCACATTGGTTGACCTGGGGCTGCTGGGGGAGGGTCTGTGTCCAGGTGGCTACCTTTCCTGGTCAGTGGGGTCACTGTAGAAATTAAAATTCTGCTGTCACAGGCTGAGCAGCCCTGTATCTGGCACCACCAAGACCATTTAATGCATGTCTCCTTTCTAATCACCATAGAGGTGGGCCCCGTGATCCATCTCCCCAGCTGGGAATAGAACAGTGGAGTGAGCATGACCTGTCTGCAAGGTCCCCCAGCCAGCCAGCCAGATGGTGGCTCTTCCTCCTCTCCATCCTGGGATGTTGTCCACCAACTATACTCTGCTCCCAAGGAGCAGGCACCTGGCATCTTTGTTCTCCAGTTTTATTCTGATCCTACCAGTGTCAGACTCAGTATGCCTGCCCTAAGAGAAAGGACTGGAGGCTGACGCTGGATGTGGGTAAAGGGCAGTCCCTCTGCAGGTCATGTCCACACTGCCTCTCCCTTCCCAGTCTCTCTGCAGGCCGTGTCCACACTGTCCTCTCCTTTCCTTGAACAGCTTAGAACAGACTTCATGATTTGCAGCTGTTGAAATCTACTCACACCTGATTGGTTAGATGAGTATTCAGTCATGTGGACAGCCCAGCCCAGCCCCACCCCAACTCCAAGGGTGCAGGGAATGAAGGCGTTGAGTCTAGGGTACATTCTTCTCTGGGTCTTGCTCTTTGGGTGTGGCTATCATTTAGTGTTTTAAGGGGAGGAGAGCTGAGGCTTTGCAGCTAACATCTGTTGTCATCCTTCTGTTAGTTGAGTCCTCCTTTTCTATCCTATCCACTGCATTCCTAGGTGTGTCAGGGAGGGAGGGGTCTAGAGGAGGGAGGGCCTTGCCCAAGAGAGAAGTCCCACAGACCAGAAAGAAGCCCTAGGCAAGCGTCACAGTGAAACCTAAGAATTTACCCTGAGATAACCTTCAGGCTGCACTGCCTCAGTGTGGGGCAGTGGGAGATGATGTTCATGACGCTACAATCATGAGCAGTCCAAGGGCCTGAGACACGAGATGGGACCATTAGAGCCACACAGCTGATGAGAAGAAAAGCCCAGAGACAAATCCAGGTCTGTAGCGACAGAGCTAGACTGCCACTTCTAAATCATGTGACCTGAGGTCTTGGACATAGGATTGGTGCAAGGAAGGCAGGGGTTGGGGGGTGAGGGAGTTGGGGAGGTCTTAGGCACTCAAGGCTACTAAATTCTTCACAGAACAAAAGTTAAAGCCTTAGGCTGGGAGTCCAGAGTCCTAATTCTAGTCTGGATATTGCCACCAAATTTGGTGTGTGGTATTAGGCCATGTCACTCTCTGTGTGTCAGTCTCCTTCATATTTAAATGAACAATTGGCTGAGACTAATTCTCCAAAGTTGTGTGTGCGAACGCTTGCCTGCATGGGGAGGCCAGAGGTCCATCTTGTTTTTTGACACAGGACCTCTTACTGTGACCCGGAACTTGCTGATTGGGCTAGGCTGGTGGGCCAGGGAGTGCTGGTGATTCTCCTGTCTCTGCCTGCCCAGGACTGTAGTTCTAAGTGTGTGCAGCCACGCTCAGCTCTTTATAGGGGAGCAGGAAACCAAACCCAGGTCTTCAGCTTGTCATTGTCCCACCCCCTTCCAGGATTTGTTAAACTCTGTCAATCCTGAGCTGTGGTTCTAGCTAGCATAAAGGGTGGATGAGGCAGCTGGAGGAAAGAGTTAAGGGAAAAAAATCCTAGTGAGAACCTTGGGTCACAGCTTGAGTACTCAAGCCCCAGCTCGGAGGCCAGAGTGCAACCCTGAGCAAGCCACATTGCCTGCTTCAGCCTCCATTATACAAAATCTTTCTATTATCAAAAAATTAAAACATGGACAAATAAGAAGAAATACAAAGATCACCCAGGCACCCAGCAACACTAGAACCTGCCACATCTCTCTGTCTGTCTGTCTGTCTTTTGTAGGCCCAGAGCCTCGTACATGCTAGGTTTGCACTCGAGCGCTGAGCTACAGCCCCATGTTTGCTTCATCTCAACAGGTAGCAAGGAGCTTTGCCCCCCAAAAGAGAGCCCCCACCCAGCAGCTGCTATTAGACATGACAAAACAGCAGTTTTGTTACCAAAATGTATCCCGTATTAAACATTTACCAATGGTCTCTAAACACACACACTCTTTCTCTTTATCTGACACTTGTAACCCAGGCCAGTTTCCACCTCCCAAGTGCTGAGATGTGAGGAGTGCCATCCCCCCATGTCAGGCTCCTCAAACTGTATTTTATAGATTATGTATCAGGATCCAGCCAGAGGCCTTGCATGGCATGTGGTCATTATAATTCTTATACCTCTGTTTGCCTCCTCCATAAAGTGGAAAAAGAATGGTGTCTACCTCACAGAGCATAACCCTTAATGACAGAACATTAACGGTTAGGCTACTAGTTCATTCTGCTCAAGACAGTGGGCTGTGGATAGCTAGCCAGGCTGTCCTGAGATGTCAGAAGAGTGAACTAGTAAAGGGGCCCCTAGGACTGTTTTTTTTTTGCCTTATCCTGGCTCTGAATGGAGATGTCCAGCTTTACCTTGACCACCTTCAGCACCCGCACTACCCCGGGCCAGTCCACGTTCTCCATGGAAGTTCTCCTGCCTCAGGAACTGTTCCACTGTCCTCACAGTCTCCAGCACCTCCTCTTTCCACTCTCTGGTCGGCTGCAGCCACTGAGCCACGAAGAAGTCCAGCTTGGAGGCTGGGAAGCTGTACAGCTCCTGGGCCAGTGCCATGTTGGTGCTGACCGGCCCACCGCTGCAGGGTTTGCAGAGTTATATAGCCACTAGCCAGGCACCCACCCAACTCCTGCACACACCTCCTTGTTTTTTAAGGTGGTTCTTTTCCTGCTGACCTCTAGTACCCTGTGGTGAAAAGGGCAGGGAGAGGGAGGAACGTGGGAGCAATGGGCTCACTGGGGGATCCCCTTCTTGGAGATTTATTGGTTCGGGAGGTGTGCTGGGGGAGGGGAGGCCGGGGCTGGTATGTCGGGGCCACCTTAACAAGGCTGGCTTCTGGCCAACATTTGCGCTGTAAGTTTCGATTCTCAGCTTTTGGAGTTTCCCTTTTGTGATGTGTGTAAACTGAAATTGGCTTGAGTTTGACCTTCTGGGGACACCTTGTCTAGATGACTCAGGCCGGCTGCCCCCACCCATCATATGGAAACTGATGTTTGGAAACAGAAAGGGCCTGCCTACTCATGGTTGTGGTAAGGGATGAGGATTCTGGAATCGAAAGGACACTTGGAAGTCCTGTGCCTTTGCCACATGCTTGGCCTCTTGGACCCTCCTGTTTTATTTAAAAGAATCTTAAATTTTAAATTATATTTATTTATTTGGGGTTTTTTTGGGGGGGTGCCATGGCCCAAATGTGGGGGTAAGAGGACAACCTGCAGGGGTCTTTTCTCTGCTTCCACCATGTGGGTTCCAGGAATCAAACTCAGGTCATCAGGCTTGGCAGCAAGCCCCCTTAACTGCTGAGCTATCTCGCCAGCCCCAACCCTCACTTTATTAAGTGACTAGCAGACACCATACTAGGAAGACAAAACAAGAAAAGCTTCATGCCCTACAGGGCCCTCTGAGTAATGAGGCAAATAAGCAGGAAGGAGATTCCTAGAGTCTTAGTGCGATGCCAGCATGGTACAGAGACCTGGTAGGGAGACAGGAAGAAGCATTTGTTTGCGGTCACAGGCAGTGCCACAAAAGCCTGTTTGACATGAATCTCAAAGACTAAAGGGATGCTGTAGCTTGGTGGAAAAAGGTTTGAGGATGGTGTGAAGAGCCCTAGGCTGAACCCCCACAGAACAACAAAGAAACTCAGACAAATTAGGAATCAGCCAGAGAGGAGGGAGTGAGTGGAAGCTGAGAAGTGGGAACAAGGCTGGTGCCAGGGACTCAGGGAGAATAGACCTTGGCCTTTGGTGAGGAGGGCATGGATATCCCTGGGTGGGAGAGCACAATGCTCACTTATCCCTACTTTTCTTTATTCATTCCTCCAACAAGCATTTACTGAGCACTTACTATGTTCCAGGTACAAGAATCCCTATGCCCAGAGAGCTTACATACTAGTGGTAGAAACAGACAATGAACAGGATTAATAAGTAAAGTGGGAGTAGGTAAAAGGTGGATGAGAACTAAGTAGAAAAAATAAAACAGAGAAGGGAGCCAATAGGTTGTGCGTGCGTGCGTGTGTGTGTGTGTGTGTGTGTGTGTGTGTGTGTGTGTGTGTGTGTGTGTGTGTGAGAGAGAGAGAGAGAGAGAGAGAGAGAGAGATTTAGGTACTTGTTCTATATGATCAAGAAGGGCTAACTTGAGAAGGAAAGCTTGAGCAAAAACAAGGAAGCAGTGCAAAGTGAGCCTCACGTATGGCCGACGGAAGAGATCCTTTTTAGCAGAAAGAAAAGTAAGGCCATGTGCAAAGGCCCTGTGGTGGTACTGTGCTTGTTGGGTCTGAGGGATATCAGGGCGCCTAGAGTAGAACAGTCATAGTGGAGAGTTGAAAGAGAATAAGGACCGAGTCATAGAGTGTGGGAGGCAAATGCTTTGGCTTTATTCGGAAGGAAATGAGGGACAGTGGGAGAGTCCTGAGCAGACTGATTTTTTTTTTTCTTTTGTTTTTTTGAGACAGGGTTTCTCTGAAGCCCTGGCTGTCCTGGCACTCGCTCTGTAGACCAGGCTGGCCTCAAACTCACAGAGATGGGCCTGCCTCTACCTCCCGAGCACTAGGATTAAAGGTGTGCGTCACCACTGTCTGACTCTGACTGATACTTTTTAAAAATGTATTTAACTTTACTTTATGTGCATGAAGGTATCAGATCTCCTGGAACTGGAGTTACTGGATGGTTGTGAGCTGCCATGTGGGTACTGGGAATTGAACCTGGATCCTCCTGGGAAAACAGCCAATGCTCTTAATTCCCTAAGCCATCTCTCCAGCCCCATGACTGATATTTTCAAAGACACCTTTTGTTTGATTAACTAATATCTTGAATTGTGTATATGCACTCACACAGACACCATGCACAATATATTAATAAAGTGAAGTGTTTAAAAGGACAAAACAAACAACCCAAATGAAGATGCCACTAACACAGAGCCACAGGCATGTGTGGAGAAGAAAGAGTAGAGGGAGACTGAGCTTTGAAGCAGTTACAGGACTCAGAGTCTGGGGAGATTCGAGAAGAGTCCAGCAAAGCAGAACAAGGGAGAGCTGGAGGGTGAAGAAAGGCAGAATGTTCTGGAAGCCGAGTGATAATACTGTTTGAGAAAGAGGAAGTGGTCCGTTGGGTCACATGCCAGGTGAATCTGTCCTGACTCTGTCCCAAAGGCGGTGGTGGTGAGTCACAAGCATGTTGTGCAGTGAATTTTGACTCCAGGGCAATTGCTTTGTCACCTTCTGTCCTGAGGATGGATGGCAGAAATGCAAGAGTAGATGTAGAGCCTGGGCCCTGTGTGGTGGTCCAAGTAGGACACAATGGGGGCTGGCTGGTGGTGGCACATGCCTTGGATCCCAGCACTAGGGAAGCAGAGGCTTGTGGATTTCTGTGAGCTTGAAATCAGCCTGGTCTACCTGCTGAGTTCCAGGACAGCTGAGGGTACATAATGAGACTCAGCCTAAAGAAAGAAAAGGTGGGAGACAATGGCCTGGACCAGAATTGGACAGGGAGGAGGTGGGGGAGGGGCTTGGTTCTAGGTCTCTCTAGGAGGAGGCAGGGACAGGAGAAAAGAGGTGACTGTCCCATCTCAGGCATGGTCCTTGGGCTGCCATCAGAAAAAGGAGGGACCGTGGATATGATGGATGTCCAGGAGTAAGTCTCTCGGTGAAGACTTGGAGGCATCCACGAATGAAGGCGGGGGAGCTCTGTGTGAAGACCACATTTTTTTCCTTGTCACACAGATGGTCACTGGTACCTTGAGGGACGATATATTGCACTAAAGATTAGGTGATGGGAAGCGGGAAAGGCATGCATGCTGTCCTAGATGGAGTGCCAAAGAGGTGGGAACAAGATCAGTAGTTTAAAAATCATCCACATTGCATGCTTATGAAAACACAGGTTTCTGAGTTCGAGGCCAGCCTGGTTTACAGAGAGAGTTCTAGGAAAGCCAGGGCTACACAGAAGAACCTCTGTTTTCAAAACTGTCATAGCCCGGCCGGTCTCGGCTCCAAGCCAACGACAGCCATGAGGTTCTGCCTGAGTGGGGGATCGTGGGCTTGGAAACTCTTAGCAACCCAACGGCGATAAAGACCAAACACAGACATCTTGTCATCTTTAGAGAGCTCTCAGGTCCATGCTGTAAAACTAGAGTCTCTTGTTTATTTAGCATCTTCTTGGCTGTTTCTTAACCACGCTTCTATGGCTATGAGGAGGCCATTTCTGTACTTCCGTTGACTCCTCTCCCCTAGATGGCTCCTAACTCTCTGTCCTCACTTGTTACTTACACACCTAGCACCTCCACTCAGGTGCAGGCCTATTCAAATGTAGAGATGCAAACTAGGAGACATTCCACACTGAGGCCATGCTAAACCATAGCAGACTTGCTTGAATTAGCAATACAATAGTGGGCCGGAGCTCCTGGTTGCTCCTGTTTAGTGAAACCGGGGGCTGGACCTCAAGACATTCCATAATGGAACTATTTTGGTCCCGGACACAAAACCAAGACCACCACCAACAACAACAACAACAACAAAAAACTAAACCAAAACAGAAGGGAGAGAGAGAGAGAGAGAGAGAGAGAGAGAGAGAGAGAGAGAGAGAGATCTGAGAGAGACCCAAGAAGTTGCTGGTGATCAAAGTGATTGCAGTTTTTGGGGAGAGATGAGAGCATAAATAAGATGAGGGTGTTATGATGGTGAATTGTGATTGCCTACGTGATTGGATTAGGAATCCCCGAGGCGATTGTTAAAGCTCAGCTCTGGGTGAGTCTGGAGGGAGTTTTTAGAGCCAATTAGGAGAGCTCGGGGCCTAATCAATAGCTTTAGCTGAAGGAACCAGCTTCCCTTTTGGCAGCCATAACGGCCGAACACGTGTTTCTATGACCTTGCCCTAGACACTAGAAAGTCAGATTCCTGGATCGTGACAGTGAACCAATCAGAAGTTAGCTGGTGGCGCTATGCTGTATGGCTCTGGGTGTGCGTTACGGACAAGCACACAGCAATGACGTAGAGAGCATAGCAACCACCCTGGGAGGGCCTATGAGCCAGAACAACCAGTTGCCCAATCAACACAGGGCAAGCTCTCCAAGCCTGGAGGCACACCAATCCTGAGCCTGTGCATACACCTAGACACTCCCCTTACGCTGCCCAATAAAGATCTGTACGCAGCAGCTTCAAACCGTCTTTTCTAGCCGTCCGCCATGGCGGGTGGGTGAAAGACCCGAGCTAACATGGGGATAGCTCGTTAAATTACAATAAAGCCTCGTGCAGTTTGCAGCAAGCTCTCGAATCCGCCTGGTGATTGGGGTGACCGAGAACGTGGCCTGGGACCCCGGATACTTGAGTTTTCGGGGGTCTAACAAAGCCACTAATGGATTCAAAGTTTGAGTTGACTGTTGGGAGGCACTAGACCTGCTGAAGGTGGGATCTGCTTGGAGGAAATGAATCAACAGGGCCACATCCTTGCATATCACCTGGTCTTGACTCCTTCCTGTTATTGCGCAACTCTGTTTCCTGTTTGCCAGTGGTTCTCAACCTTCCTAATGCTGTGACCCTTTAATACAGTTCCTATTGTGGTGACCCCCCAACCGTATCATTTTGTTGCTATTTCATAACTGTAGTTTTG